CGAACTGCAGCTAACAGTCAGCTGAAGTAGCCTGCAGTGCTGCACTCTAACCACTGTGCCACCTCGGCTCTTACCTAGTTTAGGTATCACATATGCCTTTATGTGATAGGTACATCACATAAAATACGATATACCTATTTTAACCTGTCATTAAAATAGGTATATCACACTTTAAAAAAAAAGGATGGGGGGTTGAGAAAAGGAGGGGGGGGGTTGACAGACCCGGCTGTGTCCAGCTAAGCAATGTGGCCCTGCCACTCTGTGGCCACCGCTTAAGCACCAACTTTAACCATTAAAACATGGCCTTCCTGCTTACCTGTTGCTTCAATGTATTCAATGCATCTCTCAATAAAAATGGGGATGGGCTTCTCTGGGGTCACTACAGTGGTCAAAGGCACCCCAAAATAGTTGCTCTCCCATGTAGTCTTTGTGATAGATGGTCGAGGCTTCGGCTTTGGTTTCTGTAGAGAACAATTAATCAGAGTTAGTATGGCCAGGAATGTACAGTCACCAAGGGAGGGAGGGAGGCTGCTGTATTGCCTAAAGATGATAGCCCCGCATTTCACTTATATCTGATTAGACAAATGGGATCTATATATCTGAAAGCACAAATTGCTAGTAAATCACATTTGTTTAATTATGCCTGCAATATTCAGTTCTGTGTAATGGTTAAGGTGCTGGTTTAGAAATCAGGAGGCGGTGAGTTCTAGTCCCACCTTAGGCATGAATTTGGCTGGATGTCTTTATGTCAATCTCCAGGGCACGCCGAGTTCTAATCACACATTAGGGACGAGGGCAGCTGGGTGACTTTGGGCCAGTTACTCTCTCTCAGCCCAACCTACCTTACAAGATTGTTGTTATAGGGAAAACAGGAAGAGAAAGGAGTATTGTGTATACTTGTCACCTTGAGTCACTTATAAAGTAATAAAAGTGGCATAAAAATCTAATAAAGAAAGAAATAAGAAATAAATGCGACATGAAAGCCATTGTATAGGACAGTGTTTCTCAACCTTGGCAACTTGAAGAGGTCTGGACTTCAACTCCCAGAATTCCC